TAGTAGAAGTCTGGTTCTTCTTTACTTTCACCTACCCAACTGATAGACTTGCCCCCTCTTGCTTTCAGTGGTTCACTAGTCAGGTGCTTATGAGTAGTATATGTTCTAACAGAGTCCTTTCAGTAATTTATTCGTGACACATTTAATTACTACCCGAAAATATAAGCAACAAGCCTTTAATGTAATTTGTCATATTGGTAATTTGGTATATTCTTAATCCTTTGGTGTAATAATCTTGGGGCTACTTAGGATGGTTTTACTAGATTTTAGACCGAATAATCTTTCAGTTTTCTATTCTGCAAGATTTGATTAATTACTCAAAAACCTCAAAATGTCTTTGGACATGAGTACTTTCTTTGTGCATGCCAATTTGTATACGTTTTTCAGGAACCATTTTGATGTATTTGGGTGGATTATTTATTAATAGTTTCTCGTTTGTTACTGAGAAGCCTTTGAGTGTGTTTAGAAATCTCAGATTCCTTAGGATTGACGATTTGTAATTCATGCTCTTTGTATACAAATAAAATTTCCTCCAACCTCGCCACGTTTTTGGTACTCGGAAACCATTGAAAACCTTTTTTGGAGCTAGAACACTGTTTGAACCCGTGGAAATCGATTAAAGAATATAAAATAGCAAACTTATAAGAATTCTACCATTACATGCTAACAAGAAATACATTTTCAACAATACTGGTCTCTGATTTCTTGCAATTCTTAAATATTCGTAAGGTTGTGACAAAAATAAATGTTACTAATTGGAGTTTTGGGAAAACTTTATAGCCAAGGAAATTTTTAGTGTCGTTTCAATACATTATACTGTACTACAAATCTTGAATATTTCTTATCAAACTAATTTTGGAAAAGAGTAAGTTAATTTCATTTCATTTTTGAATATTTCTCTCTCAGATTTTAATTTTCCGTGGTTTTATAGATAGGTAATATGAATTTAATTTGCTATATTTATGGGTGGTATGCATTGATGGCTGGTTCGTTTGGATCTATTAATAATAATTAGTAGTTAATTGCTGGTAATATTCAGTTTAACGCTTACGGAAATGCAGAATACGCCCCTTTAAGAAACAATTTGATGTTGAAATTCTTTGAATATGTCAAAATAAATCAATAGTCATACGGTAAAAATATGTTTGTAATTACAACCTATTTCTGACGAATTCACACTGAAGTTTTGTCCAAACCATAACCCTGAAAGTAACATAATGATGCAATGAGGTCATTTCTGAAATAATATATGTACGAGACATAATCCAACCTGTTACAGCTGATTGTGTAAAGTTCCATGTGTCAAAGGTCACAGTTTGAACCCGCCAGTCCGGTTGTACAATGACTTAACAGGAGGAACGAGTGACGAGGAACAACTGGTTTTAAAACCACAAAGTGACTCGATGTTAATGTTAATGATGTTTTATACATTATTGTAAACACTTAAATATGTCAAAAAAAGCTGCACAATTAAGCATTCCTGATATCACAGTGAGTTTGAAACAGTAGATTTTGCACTTCTATTGCATTGTATGCACGGACATTAAACAATAAACTGCTTTAGTATTGTAACTCTTCAGTAAAATACATACTATGTCCCAAACTAAGAAAGATACTTGTCTCAAACTTAAATAACGCCATTTTCGTATCTAAATCAAACAAGACACCGCAAGTTCTTTAATAGAGTTTTAAATCTGATCATTGACATTGGTCATTATTGAGCCTCTAGTAACGGTTTGATAATGTTATGTGATTAACCTGTTCCCTGATTCATCAAACAACCTTTGGTTATCCTCTCTAGCATTGATTATCATTATTAAAAACATCATTGAATATGATAAGGCTAACTCAGTAACCAACGAGTAATCTTTCGACACTTAAAAGATCGTCGTGGTGTCTTAGGTACCCGTTTTGTGGGGTTATATTGTTGTTTACTTATAGTCTTGGTCTTAACCATACTGCAATCAAAATCTGAGATCCATCAATGATCGTTATTGAGTCACACAATACTGTTCCTTATAGACAGCCAATCATCCAATTTCAAATTCAGGTGGTCATTGTGAGAATAGATTGTTGTCCTCAGATCATTTTATTGACCAGCATGGTTGACCTGGTCATTGGGCCGAAAAGTTCCTAATAGAAAACTAACCATCCAATATCCCCCCCCCCCTTGGACACTGTCTGATATTATGTAAGGTTTTGTTGATCTCAACTTTTCTGATCCTAACCTGTGATTCTCTGAACACATCATTATTGAGCCAGGCTGACTAATAGGCAACCGATTGTCTATCGTCCACCATAATAGGTCCCTGGTTAACGTAGCGTTGCACATAATTTGGTTCTTACCTATGGTCAAAACTGATAGCCAATCTTAAACAATTCAGTCAGACAATCCCAAGTGGGAAATGTATTCCCTAAGCATCGTAATCTCCAGTTTCGTTGCTCTCAGACTATCTGATCCTGATTTATGAACCACAAAGTTTCTACTATACAATAAATTTTCAATCACCGAATCCCGATTTAAAGTTTTGTCAGGGTTTCTTCTTTGCTTTATCATCTGATCCTCAAATATGATCGACTCCTGTGGTCCCAGATCATCAATCACTATCGAGCGAGACAGTTCCTGATAGACAATCTCCAATCTCCCGTGGCCACTGTGAGTGAGGTTAGTTGTTGTTCTCAGATCATCTCCAGTCAAGGACACAAGCAAGATGGCTTCTACCGGTTGTCGAAGGTTGCACTCTTGGCCTCTTTATTTCTAAGTAAATTCCTTTCCTTATCCATACAATTAATTGCAAAGCAGTGCAATCCGCTCTTGCGCATCCACATACAAGCAGTTTTAGCTACTGCGTTCGGATGCTTTGTTTTGTCATTGGATTAAAAAATACTTTGTTGATGTAAAAGAATACTTGTTCCTCAGATGGTAATTATCTGTTCATCCAACATTTCTGTTATTTTATTTTACTTCTTTTTACAAAATGTTTGCATTTCATGGTTAAATCTTGTTTGTATTTAGTGTTCTAATTAATTCATAAATACTTCGTTTGCAGCTTGGAAAAGAGGAATTTATAAAGTTGGTCCGTAACTGCATTGATATTGATAGAAATTGATTCTTTCTTCGGCCATTATTGAAATAACAAATTGAAGATTAGTTCCAACAGTTATTGCATTTCATCAGTTATTGATCTTAGATGTAGAAAAATCGTCCACCAACAGATCTAACTTAATCATTGAACCAAAATGAATGCAAATTGTTATATTTTGTTACAAGAAATGTCCTGGTGGGGTGGGGGAGGGGTGGAAATGTCGCAAACATTGGAAAGTTGTTTGATTGGTGAACCTCCAGACTGGGCTTTCACCTTGTTACTTCACTGAACCGAAATACACGCTTCGCCGGCCCCAAGGTGTAAACCATTCAGTGAAAAATATTTAAAAAATTGGGAAAATGTAATTAAATTGAGAAAACGTGTATTTTTGTAGTTTTATAAGTGGTATAATGTGTCCTGTGCCGACTATGAACATTCTTTTCATATTGGATAATCATTGAAGTTTCCCTCAAACCACCTAAACTCAAAAACAGCTTTTACGCATGGTTGAATTAGTTAAGTTTTGTCTCAAGACATGTTATACACGAGGTTTATATGAAGGCAACCCCTTATTTTGCTTTCAGAAATTAATTTTAAAGGTCAACCTGTAGAGTGATAGCAGTTCAGCAAAACTAATCGTAAAATGTTATTGTTTAGTAAAATGTCGTGGATTTAAATGTATTAGGAACAAAAGTACTTGAAATACCCAGAAGAATGTTCATTGCAGTTTGATATACGTAGCCTACAGTTTTATTTTTTATTAGGACACATAAAATTAAAGATTGTTTAGAATATTGTTAGTAGGAAGAATATATTGATGAACATACTATTGAGGGCCCTTATTTAAATTCACAAACAATTCTTTAATGATAAGTTGGAGGAAAATCCACTAAAAAATTATGTCACAAAAAATCCAATGTTCATTGACACTGTTTCATTGACCAATATCAACACGGTCAACCAATACCTAAGAACCAATCGTATTGCAATATTATGCCTGATTACAGTACATACTACTCTTGCTACAAGTTCTATGATAATTGTCTTTAATATAAATTTATAAAGTTTTAAATTGTATAAACGTTAAAAACAGTAAATTGGACAAAAGTTTCAGTTGTTTAATCAGATCGAGATGTTTAAGTTTTGTATTCTAAAGTAGTGTCTACAGAAGATGTCTCTAAGCTGTATTGTAGGTGTGTTGTCACATATTAATTAAAATATATGAGTCCAATGGTTTACCGTTAAGGCGTAAAGAACTACGGAATAAAAAATCTAGAACAACCTAAACGAGTGATCAAAGTAAAATATTTTTTAAAAAACTATTTCGTTCTTAAAACCACAAGCTTGAAGCATAAGGTTTTTGCATATTAGCCTATTACATTGTTCCGTATACTTGCCAATAGGGTGTAAAGAGTTACGGGATTTCAGATGACTTACAATTACATCAACAAACCCTCAAATTTACAAATTGTTAAACTGGAATAAGCTATTTTCAAAGAAACCTAATCATTAAAACGGTCTTATAACCTCTTCAAATATGTATTAATTCATCTCCTAAAACGCCGAGGAGAAAGTTTATTGAGTAAACAAGACACACGCAAAGTGAATGTAGAAACATGTCTTGTTAACATGTCGTAACTCCATGCAACAACACTTGTGCCGACCTCATTGCCGACAACTCCAGGGTGGATGTAGATTAACACACATTACATCTTAACACCCCTCCCCCCCTCCACCCACCTCTGTAGGAGATGTTACATTGTTGGAGTAGTTACACGAATAGTTGATAGACAGCTTATCACCTTTTTTGGGGGGTCCTGATTACTACTCGCATTCTCAACATTTCAGCTGGTATATTTGAAAATTGTCGTTCATGCTCTTAAAGGTTGTCTTACAATACCATTTTGGTTTCAGGTAGCGCCTTGGTTGCCCCTAGAAGAGTCAAGAGGCAACAGCAGAACGACGAGACGACGACCAAGAAAGAAGAGAGCTTTGAGACAGAACTCTGCAAAGACAAGGATGCCGGGGAGTGGTTCAGGTTGGTCGCCGGAGAGGGCGATAACTGCAGAGATGTGATCCAGTGCACATCGTCGGTGAGTACATTACACGTTTTTCAAGCATTTTCTCCATTTTTAAGCTGTCGTTGATCATTGTGCTTTTAATAAATACATAATAAATAAATTTGATTATTCAAATGTCAGTAGCTTTCTGATGGTTCGATGCTTCATCCGTGAGAGACCTCAACGCCTGGTTTTACCGATGGAGAGATTTAAAGGGATGGTTTGATGCTTCATCCGACAGAGACTTTAACGCCTGCTTTTACCGATGTAGAGATTTAAAGGGATGGTTTGATGCTTCATCCGTGAGAGACTTCAACGCCTGGTTTTACCGATGTAGAGATTTAAAGGGATGGTTCGATGCTTCATCCGTGAGAGACTTCAACGTCTGGTTTTACCGATGGAGAGATTTAAAGGGATGGTTTGATACTTCATCCGTGAGAGACTTTAACGCCTGTTTTTACCGATGGGGAGATTTAAAGGGCCTTCATAGTTTGAAGCAGGAGTTATCCAAGCTGCCCTTATTCCTTTATGATCCCTTATGAATACCTTATGATGCTGGCTTAAAAATAATTTGAGTTCTGAGTCAGATACAAAGCTACACAAAGCACGAAGCAGTCAAAAATCCCATACTCATTTTAAATGTATTTTATAAATAAATGATCCCAGCTGTTATTGATTATTGCCTTTTAATTTTTCTGGCTATTGAAACATCTTAGTTAGGAACAACGCTTCTAATGGCAACTCGTCCAGCCGACAGTATCTTTTCTTATTTTGGTTAAGATACTATAGCTGCTTGCCTGTCGTTGATAATATTTTACGTTAGTATAATACTCTACAAAGTTTGTGAATGAAGAAAATCAGTACGACAGACAGTAACGTAGTCAGAACAAGATTTTGTCAGAGGTTCAACAATAGGAGGTCAGAGAGATGAACTTTTGGTTTCTAACTATGCGAATTTACAAATAACTAGTGTCTTAATAATTTCTTTATCTCGTTTTGGCTGAGTACTCATGCACTTTTCAATTAATTTTCGCATCATACAATTTTAACATTGAGACATTTGTTATTTCATGGACATTTAAATATCTTTGTGTTTACAAACAACAAAGCGGAACGAGTGTGCATGAACATTAAATTTCGCGCGTAGAACATGTGAGTGAAAGTATAATAGTATGTCTTGAGAAACATGAAAGCATGAAACTCTCGATCATCTAGCACTTTGAAAGCGAAATTAAAATAGAAATAAAAACCAGTGTTTTTCATAGACAGCTTACGGTCATATTATTGAGTTTTGGCGTATTTTCATACGGCAATAGTATTTTTAAGATTTTTTCGTTAGAAGACATTATTAATTGGATGCTCGGTGGAAAATGGCATGTGGCCCAGAGTTTATTCCGTTAAGGTTCAAACCAGGAAACTACAGATTTGAAAGTTTACGTTTTTAACAATTTGGCTGACATATGTTCTCGAATATTAAGTTATTAAGCAACATATTGAGACGATATACTCTGAAAAGGCATTCTCTACATCTTCTCTCAACTAAAATATCGTGCATGTATCTGCATTCATGCAATACAGAATGTCACAGTCGGGTAACTAGTTTTCACAACAGTAATAGTCATCTTCAGCCTACTTAGCACTGGATATCATGTCACTTCATTTGATTTTCGTAAACATGAATAATAAATTAAACACACGCGTTCATATGAATATCAGGACAAACATAAGAAAAACAGTAAGAATTATTAATACTCAAGAGGGACACTACAAGATAGGGCTGAAGTTTTGACTAGACTCATTTTTATAGCATCCTCTGCTTGTTTGTGCGCCAATCAGAATCAGAATCAGGAATCCTTTATTCATGATTTATACATTAATAAATACAGCATAGCGTCAGTAGCTTAAAATCAAAAAAATAGTTATAAAAAATGTTCACTGAAAGAGTATAATGATTTTTTTTTAAATTAAATACACCTTCAATTTCTTTTTGAAGATCTCTGCATTCTTTATTGCCACTAGGTCTTTTGGCAGAGAGTAAAAGAACCTAGCACCTGCAGCTGTGAGTTTTTTGTATTTAATTCCTACCTAAGCCCGCAACTTTTTTAGGTTTAGATATATCCACAACTAGTGACGTAGCTTTTCTTAAAGTCGAGTGAAAACATCCGTATGACATTCCTCAAGAGTAACCTCCTCACTGGAGAGCTGACTTCTGCTGCTTCTTTCTAGTGAATTCTACTTCTTTTTGCGCCCACCTGAAGACAAAGCATGTGGGATAATAACCGTTGAGGACAATAAGACAGCTGAGGCCCCGCAGAGATAGACAATAGCCACATATCACATCGCGTTACGTGGCTTGATAAGTGATTATAGGAGAGAAGAAGACGTCTGACGCAACAGCTGCCAAGGTCACTTACGGTCTTGCAGCATCCTAGACATCACATAACTTGTGGTTTTGACATAACAAATTCCAATCACAACCTTTGCTTGTATTTGTTTGCTGAACAAGGATGAAAATTCAGTTACTCAAATACCATTGTGTTAATAGATAAAGTGCAATTAAAGCCTGTATTAATGTTCGTGTAAAAATTTCGTAACACTTTTACTATATCATGGTTTTATTTCATGTCTTAATGGATTAGTGGCCTATTAAAGTATTGCACGTTTTTCTAGGGTCACTTATACAAATAACGAATGACTATCATATTAATGAGTAACAGATTGATCTTGTGTAGACAATAAGTGATAGTATGGTAATCTTTCACCATAAGACACAAGTTACACATAATGACTAATGTATAGAACGTATTCTAAGAGGGAGAAGAAGACAAGGAAGGTGGAGAAGACCGGACCTGGTGTTATGCTTGTGAATTTCATTGTAGTCATGCTCTGACATTAAACTAAAACATCAATCAGAAATATCGTCAACATTATTTGACATTTAGGAGACTTAAAACTCCAACCATCAGATAGGTTTAAGAGTATAAGGGAATAGAAAAAGAAGTAAAATAAAAAGGAGATCAGGAGAACAGTAACATCAAGAGGAGATGAATATTGCGATCAGCTCACAATACCTCTAGGAATTAAACCAATCAAATCCATCATAAAGATATCTTAACTAACTATACGTAGGCTCGATTTGATATCTGTATAGATATCTAAAGAGGAGAAAAAGACAACTATGGCGCAACTGTCACCAAGGTCACGTGATCCAGTATTGCGCCAACCCTACTCTGGAATTTCCAGCGGCATTGGAAAACCTATAATCCCTATCGCCTGGGGACCGGTGACTGTAAACATCTTGTTTTAGTTAATTACACATCTCTTTGTAAACATATCCTGAACAAGAAGAGGTCGTCTTTCCATCCTTGTTGGAGTCGAAAGGCTAGTCACAATTTGAGAAACTAGTTTCAAGAGGGAATTATCAAGAGTAATATTCGAAAGAGTATTAGATGGGAATTGCCTTTAGAGAATTTTATAGGTTATTACCATTTTTACCAATGTAGGTCTATATTAGCCAGATGGTTCTTATGAAGGTGTTTCAAATAGGAATCAAATCAAATAGGAATTTCAATATGTAATCTATCATGACAAACCTGACTCTGTAAAAAAAATGAATGTTAAAATACAAAACCTTTGGTGCTAGTAGTTCCTTGTCAGAAAGCTTTATTAAGTATTAAGATACACATATTAAAGGTAACATCGTGAGGGTTCAAGAATCTCATGTTTCATAAATAATTAAGTTTCGGAAATGATTTACTTCTCATTGGTAATCCCCACCTTAATGTGACTTTAATGTCCATTACCGCCTAAAGCGTTTGGCAAAACCAATTACAAAAATCAATAATGTTGAATTATCTTTCTTTTATTTAATTTTATGAATATATTTTCTTTAGATCAATTTTGTTATTCATTCTCCATTTTGTTCCTAGGACCAACCGATTGAACAATCTATTGTAACGCTATCTCATTTTTTCCTATACCAAACTATTAGTCTCATGTAAAAACTTAAATTGAATTGTATTGTTTACTAGACCAATATTCAATGCTATCCAATTAATGTTTTATGATGCGTGAACTAGCAATTACATCTGTTTATTTGAACTACGTTTATAAAAATAACTAAACATTTGGTACGTTTAGTGTATATACAATTGTCATAAATAGTACTAAACAGATAATAAATTCAGATTATTGATTAACCCTAATTTAATTACAGTAATTTAATACATTCGCATAGATAAATCGTATATCGCAGCGCCTCAATTTTATCTATTACATGTTCTCAAACTTGTGTTGTGTTATGTTTAATATTCTCCCAATGCTAAAATCACCACGGAGAAATTAATTTAACAAACAATAACCACAACTCACAATGCAGCATTCAATTCAAATGCACGCCGAAATGCCATTTGAACTACGTTTTTAGCCCCGCTCTCAAATGTCAAGGATTGTTTCTCAACACTTATATTATCATTATGATGCGGGAAATTGGTGCTTTTTTGGTTACTTTAATGACTACATTTAGTAGAGATTAGGTGGGTGAGCCAACAGTGTCGTGTTGGCTGTGCTAGTTGCAAAGTCCCTCTATGAAAGGAAAACAGGACCTCAATATGGTAAAAACTAAATAATTTTTAAAAAACCTTCTGCGTTTCACCCCATGGGGGGAATTAGCTAAATTATCATAATTACCCATATTTATGGCTAAAAAAGGAACACGATACCTTATTGTGACAAAAACTAAACGATGCAAAAGACAGTATTTATGACCGAAAATCTAATTAATGAAGAGTACCGAAGGTAGAATTGGAGGAAGGATAGAATCAATAAAAAATACGGTATTTGTTCTGCAATTTTTCTTTTTGCAATTTCTTTCTGCAAAGTGGGACATTTTTATGTTTTATTACATGTTTTGACGTAGCTTTGCTTGAAAATAGTACATCCCTAAGTAATTATCGTTTTTAAGTTAATACCTAAAACGTAAAAATGCATGTTAATGATCACGTTAATAGCTTTATCTTGAATTGTGCCAACTACTAAAGGGAGCCACCCGATACGTTCCTTAACTAAGCCAAGTGGCGGCCCTCTTTGACTTTAAATTGAGTAGGTTAGGTTTGGTTAGGTTAGGTTTGGATAGGTTAGGATAGGTTAGGATAAGTTAGGATTACACGTAAACCAGGACATTCCTTCTGCCAGCAACTTATCCCTACCTGACTTGGGCTTGGCGCAACTAAGGAACATTTTTTCGGACCCTTTGAGGGCTTGGCGCAATTAAGGGACTCTTTGGCGCAATTAATGCATGACCGCCAGTTAAGGACCAGGGTAGGCCTACAGGAAATGCAAGACTGATGCACCGTTACGCGAAGGTCGTGGCCTCCACAGTGACCCTCGGTCGTTGTGTAACTGTCTGGAGTCTAGACTGGGAGCCGTTACTGGGATAAAAAGTTACTGGGACAAACAGTTGTTACTGAGAAACAGCCGCTATTGGGGTATATAATAGTCGTTACTGGGATACAGTCGTTACTGGGATAAAAAGTAGTTTCTTGGAAAACAATAGTTACTGAGATGGACAGTCATTACTTTGATACAGTCATTGTTTCGCTAATGGGATACAGTCGTTATCGTTCTGGGATTAACAGTATTTACCATTCTGAAATAGGCAGTCCTCATTCAGATAAGGTAAACAGTAGATACACTTATAAAAAGAAACAGTCATCACTGGGATACTGCTGTTACTGGGATACACCTGTTAAAAGGAACAGTTGTTACTGTTAAAAGGAACAGTTGTTATTGTTAAAAGGAAAATTTGTTAAAAGGGACAGTTGCTACTGAAATAGACAGGAGTTATACGAATATACAGTCGCCATTGGGAAACAGCAGTTGAAAGAAGCATTTATATTGGGATACAGTTGCTTAAAGGAACAGTCGTTACTGGAATACTATTGCGAAAAAGAACAGTCGTTACCGAGATAATGTTGCTAAAAGGAACAGTCGTTACTGGGATACTGTTGTTAAAAGGAACAATCGTTACTGGGATACTGTTTCTAAAAGGAACAGTCGTTACTGTCATACTGTTTCTAAAAGGAACAGTCGTTACTGGGATACTGTTTCTAAAAGGAACAGTCGTTGCTGGGATACTGTTGCTAAAAGGAACAGTCGTTACTGGGATGCTGTTGCTAAAAGTAACAGTCGTTACTGGGATACTGTTGTTAAAAGGAACAGTCGTTACTGGGATACTGTTTCCAAAAGGGACAGCCGTTACTAGGATACTGTTGCGAAAAGGAACAATCGTTACTAAGATAATGTTTTTAAAAGGAACATTTGTTACTGAGATACTGTTTCTAAAAGGAACAGTCGTTGCTGGGATACGGTTTCTAAAAGGAACAGCCGTTACTGGGATACTGTTGCGAAAACGAACAATCGTTATAGAGACAGTCGTTGTTAAAACCCTAGAATCCTGTGGTTAATGATAAAAAAAAACTTATTTCTGGAACATATAGACTGTATTTTCCATTAGTCTTATTTAAAGAAATTCTTAGTTGGCCTGCAAATAACAAATACACTAGTAATTGACAGCAATCCTCTGGGTTTGATTGCTGTTACCAGGTCTAAGAAGTCAAAAGTATACATGAACACTTGTGCCTTGTATCCATGTTTTCGTAACGTCATACATAGTGTGATCGTTTCCAACCCTACGCAACTACCTACACGGAGAATTGTATTGTGTTTCTCATTTATGGAAGCTAACAAGTTTATTATTTTGTTTTAGGGACTGCAAGCCATCAGGTGTCCCGCAGGTCTGTTCTTCGACATCGAAAAACAAACCTGTGACTGGAAGGGTGCAGTGAAGAACTGCAAACTAAAGAACAAGGAGAGGAAAGTCAAACCTTTGCTGTACACAGACGAGCCCCTCTGTCAGGTTAGTTTTACTTTGAAACTAGAAGAAGATTCCTAAAAAAGAAAGTCAGACAGATGGGATGATAATTTTCAACTTTTAACTTTTAAGTCTAGCTAATAGTTCAGGCAACAAATAAAACAATCGTATAGAGGAAAATTTCATTTAAGCAAAATTTGGAACAGTTGGAAAGGTCCTTAAACATACTAAAATTGCCCACCGGTGAGGGTAGAGCTAAGGGCGCTGGGGGCTCTAAATGTCCTTTTTAGGTTTTTCGTAAACAACTCGAAAACTAGCAACTTTTTTATACAATACTAAATTAGCAAATGAAAGAAGATTTCCAACAATAAAAGTACATGATGTAATTATTTTGGTTCAACCATTTAAAGATATAATAAATATCTTTAGCTACTATAATATCAAAAAATCAAAGGGATAGTAGAGCTTAAGAGCACACTTCCCAAGAGGGTTATTCAACTGTGTAGTTTCTTTGAAAACGGTCTACGGTTTGTTTTAGAAATGGAATGTCTACGTAAGTAAACAAAATCTACCCAAATCAATGAAACGTTGGAGTAATCAGTATTTTACTAGGGTAAAATGCACATTTAAAGTGATAGTACACATTGAAATCGTTCTCTTTTACACTGTCAGGATGGGTTCCTGGCTTGCGGTGATGGCGCTTGTATAGAGCGAGGTCTCTTCTGCAACGGAGAGAAGGACTGCACAGACGGATCTGATGAAAACACTTGCGGTAAGTGAAAGCCTTTCAACAACTCTATAATATACTTCAAATAGAAGATTATAAAACTCGGGCAGACACAGTAGGAGCTCAACACTCTGGTAACCGATAAGTCACGGCTTGCAGGATATTTGTTACATGAAAATCACCGTCTTCCGCCAGGCGCTTGAGGAAGTCGAGGTATGGATTATTTTCGCAACCTTCCGTCCCGATACTTGAAAATCCAATTTTCTTAATGAAATATATCGTTAGCATGACAAATTCTCAAGTTCCCAAACGAACGGGATTGACTACCATCGATGCCGTTGCGTAACGGGGCGTCTGGCGGCAATGAGGTTATGCAACCACAAAAACGGGATCGCAACACACCTATGTCAATCGTCGGTGTTCTTTATGTTTCTGGCAAATTGATAATTTTTGCTTGTGCCTAATGAATACACCCAGTCAACCTCCAATGGCCTACCAGGCTGTGGATGCAGCTGCGATAGAGATGATTTACTTAGGCTGGAATTTTCTAGGTTACAATTTGAATTTACGTGTGAATTGCAGAAGTCTCACCCAGTGCTAATCGATAGAACGTCAAATGACTCCAGTGGATGGATGAATAGACGACAGTGACTCACCTTAAAAATCTAATATTTTTTTAAATATGAATCCTGTATCTGTCATAGTTTGTAACAGATTACAAAATACACTTGTTTTACTACTGTGCATCATTTCTATTTACTACAAGTTTCTCTAATGTCTCATCATTTTGCTCAACTCAACCGCCTTTATTGAAAAACATTTCAGGAAAACCTCAAAGATAATAACATATTTCCAAACTATCCAATTTATCAAACATAGCAGTCTTACACAAAGACCATTAGGACTTTGAAGTGGGTTTTTATGTAGCTTAACTTCACCAACCGCACTATTATAACACGCTAATTCCAAAATTTCCAACCCAAAATCCCTTGGAGAAATCCTTAGGTAATCCCAAGCATAAACCTGCAGCGAGTGTTGTAATTGTCAACAGTGACAAGTAAAGCCAGAGACATAGCTTAAAATAACAAATGTAGTGATTAAGGCTCAAGGCCGAGGATTGGTGCAACAGCATTGTTCGGAATGCGAGGCGTGGATCGAGGAAAGTGAGGGAAAGCGGCTGCGACTGGTGAGGTGGCGACTGGCACCTTGCCAGCGACTATAACTGGTGCCGCACCCACAGGCCTCTAGTCTGTGTGTTAAGATTTGTGGCAAATAAAAAATACAACCGATTTCCTGATTCTTAACCACTCGAGAAATAACAACGAAAACGCGTTAACGAAAACAATTTGCTTTGAACAATTTGAAAAGAAGGTTTTTGATGAGATTCCAATCTTTAACCAGGTGCTAATTGCCCATACGAGGTGTCTAAAAGAGTTGTATCAAAGTGAAGCAATTTATTAAATCCTATTGAAACTAGCAGGATAAAATGTTCAGATACACGGTATCAAGTCGTAAATGTTCCTGTAATGGTAAATTATCTATCTATATCGTTTTATTTTAGGCCTTTCTGAAAGGCTTTTCCAGAATAAACTGATTGGTTGCCCCATTACCATTATTATTCTATCAACAAATTTCATCACAACATCTACAACATCAGACATAAATTATTTTCGTATTTTGCACTTGGACAAGGTATACTATACGAACTTAATTGTTCAACAGATAGTTTGTTTTACTAATGGCCTTACCCTACTAGACCTTAAGACAGGACGTTTTTCAAAAGGTCCTGATGAAATTATTTATCCACTTCTCAATGACTTCTCAATCATATCACTGATTATTTCATCGTTTTTTTTTTCAGATAACGACAACGACCCGAACCGCGCACCCCCGTGCGACCCAGCGGTGTGTGTCCTTCCAGACTGCTTTTGCTCTGAGGATGGCACAGCCATCCCGGGCGATCTTCCTTATAAGGACGTTCCTCAGATGATCACCATCACCTTTGACGATGCCATCAACAACAACAACATCGAGTTGTATAAGGAGATGTTCAATGGTAAGAGGAAGAACCCCAACGGCTGCGACATCAAGGCGACTTTCTTTGTGTCTCACAAGTACACAAATTACTCCGCTGTCCAGGAAATGCACAGGAAGGGTCACGAGATCGCTGTACACTCCATCACGTGAGTACTCCATTGGAAAGTCCTGATTGGTGGCCTTTCTCAAAGGTTTGTTCGTGACAGAATAAACTTTTCGTGGTCTATGAAAAAGCTTGGAGAATTTCAAATGAAATTTGCACGTGTCACCTTTAAACTCCTTGAATGCGCCTTTTCCAGTTTTTACAGTTTTAAGAACGGCCACGATCAGAGTTAACATGGTCGAGGAGTGAATGTTTAACCAATTACCGATCACATAAGTGTAAATGAGGCATGAAATCTTGACTTCTGTCTTAAAATAATATTTTCCAATTCTTCTCTTATAAGCTTTCATTACTTTTCGCACATTTGTAAAACTTAATAAACTCATCATGCTTCTGTAACTAAAAACTCTCTCAATATTCAAATTCTCCTGTAAATTAATAGAGGGGAATCTTTCTTGAACTCTGTGTGTCGCTGCTATCTGTGTCGCAAGCTTGTTTCTTTGTCTGTTACAAAGGACTGATGATCGTCCTCTTCCTCTGGGGTCACTAACACGACACACCGGTTCTCAAAACAAATATTAATCTCTGTTTGTATCCTTATTCATAGTCACGGGTGTTGCAGACACAATGACGAAGAACAGTTCTGGAGCAACGCTACTGTCGACGACTGGGCCAAGGAGATGGCTGGCATGAGGGTTATTGCCGAGAAGTACGCTAATCTGACCGACAACAGCGTGGTGGGAGTGAGAGCTCCTTACCTCAGGGTGGGAGGAAACAACCAGTTCACCATGATGGAGGAGCAAGCGTTCTTGTACGACTCTACCATCACCGCTCCCCTCAGCAACCCTCCTCTCTGGCCGTACACCATGTACTTCCGCATGCCTCACAGATGTCACGGCAATCTCCAGCACTGCCCCACCAGGAGTCACGCCGTCTGGGAGATGGTCATGAACGAGCTCGACCGCAGAGAGGACCCCAACTTCGACGAGTACCTCCCTGGATGCGCTATGGTCGACTCCTGCTCCAACATCTTGTCGGGAGACCAGTTCTACAACTTCTTAAACCACAACTTCGACAGACATTACGACCAGAATCGTGCCCCCTTAGGTCTTTATTTCCACGCCGCTTGGCTTAAGAACAACCCCGAGTACTTGGACGCCTTCCTCTACTGGGTCGACGAGGTGCTGGAGAAGTACAACGACGTCTACTTCGTCACGATGACACAAGTCATCCAGTGGATCCAGAACCCCAGAACAGTCTCGGAGGTGAAGAACTTCGAGCCCTGGAGGGAAAAGTGCGCGGTTGAGGGAAACCCGGCTTGTTGGGTTCCTCACTCCTGCAAGCTCACGTCCAAGGAAGTTCCCGGGGAGACCATCAACCTGCAGACGTGCGTCAGATGTCCCAACAACTACCCCTGGGTCAACGACCCCACCGGAGACGGGTTTTTCTAAGTCAAAGATCTCATCTGTGCGGAATCAAATCGTGCTCTCCGCCCCGCCTCGGACTCAAACTCTTCTCCCGTGAACGACTGAAGTGACGTGTGCGTTGTGATTGTTTATTTTAATTTTCTTCTCGAAGGGATCGAAGGACAGAGGATAGTGTGGGGCTCGAGTCATTGTAAATTATAGTCTTGTTTCGAATGTACAAAGTCTAGGAGGCCGCGGCCGGGTCCGCCGTTCAACAAGCTCAAGACTTTACAACTTGCCAAATGTTAACGTGCTTCGCACTTGCAACTAAAATTGTGATTTTAAAATGAAATCGTTTTTTATAAATATTTGTGTAAATTATTCAATTTTCATTTCTATGTTACACTAATTAATAGTTAGTAAAATCGTCCAAACTCTCTTTTGTTGTCTTGTTTCATGTGTGTTCATTTTTTATTCCTAGTTCCTATATTTTATAGCTAAAGACCAATTTGTTATTACTATATATTATTTTATCACATTTTCCTAAACAAAAAAAAAATAATTAAAAGCCAAGGAAATTTTCAAAATTATAAAAACCAATCATGTTGCTATTATACCAAGCCATATGCAATTTTTTTTTCAAACTAAGAAATAGGAGTATTTAATGAAAAATATTTAATTCTTTTGATTTTTACAAAACTTAAATTTCAATCACTTGAAAAATGAAAACATAAGTTAGAGAGAGTCTCTACGTTAAAATATGTTTGTATTTTCCAGGGATGAGACAACAGTTTTCATCGTATGTATATTATATGTAAAATATCCCCAATTAAACGCCTTAAAAATATAATCTCTTATGATTTGGTGTTACTTTACAATACTACATCACCAGACAAAAGAGGATCATTTCAATCAACTTAATTAATTTAAGTTTGTTGGGAGCAACAGTTATTGATATAGGTGTGTCAGTAATGTATCTTCAATATAATAAAACATATTTCATTACTAGAAAACGATCCAAGAGGGCAAAAATTTAAAATATGACTAGGTAGTCATCTATTTTAAATACCCTCCTACTATTTTCGTGGTGAAATAGAAATTACCAAACGCTGACTAGATTATTTTGTCCTGAGTTTTTAACTTAAAAAAAACTATATTTAATTCAAGCAAATCAATTCTTACCATGACTTTACTTTGATGAACTTGTACCATTCAATCTTTAAAAATAACTTATAGAATTTATAAATACCGCACAATAGTGCTAGCTGACATTCTCTACAATTTTCGAACCAAAAATTACTTTTGCAGCTCACTTTTCAAAATTAATTATTATAAATAAATTAAAGAGGGCAATTTCGGCAATTCCCCTTGCCTTCTCCAACTGAACCGCGTGTTTTATTGTACACTCTTGAGCCCAATTAAACCTGATGTTCTGTAAGAACAATAAGTTTAGGAATATGTTGAATGGACTAAAATAAAAAGAAAACAAAAAATATCATGTTTTTCCAAAAATTCCTAATTAGCGAGATTTCCACTATTTTTGTGTAGCCCATTAAATTTCCATCTAAAAAACTAATGAGTATATCTTTATGACATTTGGTATACCGTTTATCAAGTCTAAAACTATTTCAGAAGAAATAGTTATAAAAAAAAGAATTTTGGTTTCAAAATGGCGGTCATTTTATTTTTATAACTTAAATCACAAAAAGTTGCCGATTTAATAAAAAAAATAGCCAAGTGCACTTTTATTTCTCACGTTTAAAAAAATTACTGTCAAGCAACATAAAGCATAAAAAAATATTAATAAATTGCTGATTCGCATTTTTTGTTGTATATGTCCGACAAGATAAGACCAAGCAGTCAGGATTCGCCTCATTTTGCGCCTAAAAGCTATTTCTTGTTAGATCTTTTTGAAGTTGGTGTCGTTTGATAAGAAATTTTAATCGCTAAATACATAAAGATTTTGGCATAATCCAGCCATTTTATTGTAATTTAAGTAATAACATACAAAAAAGTTGGAATTTTGATAGCAGAAATTTTTCCGATTGTTTTTTTTTTTTATAGATTATGATTTGATAAAATTATCAACCAAATTTCACAAAGATATCTTGAATAATTTTTGGAATATAAACTTGTAACACCCAAAAATTCCGAAAAAACGATGATTTTTGAAAAAAATTATTTTTGATTTTCGTTTTATTTCGACCCATCCTAAATTATTAAAAAATGTTGTGTACATAAGCTATTTACGGGGCACCCTATATATCCTAAAAATTTACTCTGGTCAAAAACCGGTGTTTATAAAACGATTTATTTTACTATAGACGCCAAATAACAACTTCATCAAAGACGGTTTAAGGAAAACGTCCTAACAAACAAACCTTAATCGTGTTACAATATAATTACAAAACAAGACCTCTTTGTACGTACGATAAATTTCCATCCTGTTCTGTTATTTTATTATTTGTAATCTTGATATATTTGAAAATTATGAATTTCAAAAGGAATACATAACATATTTAATGCTAAAAGCAACAGAAACTGTATACATTGCATCAAACCTATTTTTCGTGTGAAAAAGAACGTCTGAATACTGTCAAATGAATATTTACATCTTTAATTAGGGTAGTTTTACAATTTGGACTTTTCTCCTCGATTACGTAATAGCATAGATTAAACGAGTAGACATTAAAGCAGTATCATAGACAAAAAGAATTAAATATAGACCGACAGCCGTGCTGCGATTAGCATATGTTCTGGCGTCCACCGCTAGGAGCGTCGTGTAGTGACGTAGCACGTACGCCGTAACTACACCGCGCTCCTAGCGGTGGACGCCTGGATCTATGCTAACCACAGCACAGCTGTCGGTCTATATGAAATTATTATTGTCTATGGTAGTATACATACTCCTTTAATCTATGATATTAAAGAAGAAGTAATAGTTCACAAATTGATTGTTATATTCATACTAGATACATTATATCAACAAATGGTAAAAACAAAACGCCCCCTACATAAACTTTACACAAGCATACATTGAAATTATTTGTTTATTCATAAAAGTGAAGAATGTATAAGGAAAGAATGTTATTTATGGTTCACTCTAGTCTAGTCCAACTTGAGCACGTTATGATGCAGTCTCAGTCCGGTTGGAGTCAATTATCGGGTTTTCCGCGTTTACGGAGGTGCTGACACGTAATTGGAAGACAAAGACGACAAACGAGAGGTGAAAGTTGCTCTCTCTTTCTACAAGAAAGTAAGTGAATAACGAGCCTGAAGCATGGATCGTGGTTAATCTAACAGGCCTTGAGGGTTCTTTGATAAGATTACATTTCGTGATCTCCCACTTACTGAACCAATTGACCTGTCTACGACTGATCCAACTCTGAATCTAAAGGTTTTCATTGATAAAGTCGTCACGAACTAAAATTGCTATATTTCACATTATTGAATAGTTTAGTAGCAAGGCGAAGGAAATGTGTCTTCAGGCTTATAATCACATGGAGTTGTCGGTGATGCACCTATTTTCCTAATAAGACAATTTTAGCCGGTGTTGTTTTTAACGAACATATTTCGTTACTAACGAACATATATTTCGTTACCAGTTAATCCAAGACCATTAAACCGACTTGTTAAAAGTTCTACTCAGAGGCGTCCTATGAACAGCTGACAAATAAGCCTGAGGTCTTCAAATCTCTTCGGCTACAGTCCATTGACATCCTAGGTTATGGGGTAGAATTTCTGAAACTAATTATTTGATGATCTCCGTGGCCAAAAATATGAAAACTAAAATTTGTTCCATTACATCAACTACACTATGCCACCTTCTGATTTAATTCAAACATAGAGTTATGTAAGAACTAGTACAACAGAGATATATTTTTATATTCAATTGCAGATTTGTAACTCACAGTAGATTTAAAGAGCTACACTTCTAAACTCTTCTGTATCCTCGCCACGACACAAAGCTCGAACGAACTGTTCTAAAGTGTAAGAACATTACACCCACTTTACAACAAAAAACTTAATAAACAATGTTGTTAAGCCTCTTCAAATCAAAACAGAAATAGAAAGTCTGAAGGCATTATAGGACAATAACCATCTCCACGGCTATGGAAGATTAGCGGAGCGAATGTATGTTTTTGCCACTAACGTTATTGACCTAATACACTAAGCTGGCTGGATTGGTAAGGCCATCGCTGGATTCTCACAATACAATACAATGGTCGACTTCGAGGCCAGGTGTTTTTATCGCATAACAGAGTTTTGTAGTCAAATGTTTATAATATTGGGGCATAATTATATAATAATGTTATATTACTTAAAACTGAAATAACTCCTTCCTTTATTGTGAATTCATCTCTAACGTGAAACACGTACAAAGAGTACTTCCATGGCATAATAATAAATTGATTATAGGATGTTTAAGTTTGGAATTTCTTAGACGTTTTATATGTGTGCCTGAAATACTACAACCAATTGTGTAAAGTTTAAAAAGGAAAATGCAGTATAATCGCAATGACAAGTGTCCCATGTGGATTATAAAATGACTTGTTATAAACGTAGACTTCTTATTATTTTTGCAATAACATGTAAATTATGGGTGATACAAAAACAAAGGGTATTGAAAAATTGCACGGTGCAATCCAAAGCACTCTCGAACACTCAGTAAAAGAATATCATGAAATATGTATTTAAAACGTCCTTGTAATAAAATCAAAAATAGGCACAACTCAATTCGGAAATACTAAAGAGCGAGGTAAATAAAAACTAAGCAGATTGTCTTAGACACACCACCTCAATTTTATAACAGTATAGATATATACCATTTGAGTCATCAAAACAAAGAATTCATGTATATTGAAAAGGTAGTTTAAAATAATCTCCATGCTAACCACTCCATAAATAAAATAACAAACCAATATATGGACTTATAATAAACATTAATAGTAATTCCTCGTTTAAAATATTGATGTAATTGAAAACCTTTAAAAATTAGAAAGTCTCTAATATGCTTTGCTTATGATACATCAGAGAGTTTCCGAGTAAAAAAATTTAATTAGCAAGATCGAGGTTAATTATTTAAAAATAGAATACTATTTCATCAATATATCCTTTAAAATGACTCCCATCTCGTTTTTAATTTATTTTATGGAAATTAGCAGCTGTTTAGTAAGTTATTCAATCAATCTTTTCGTCTATTACGATTGTGTTGCACATTATACCATCGTTACACTCTACTTAGTTATTATACATCGATGCAGCTGATTAAATCAATCGATAAATAATTTTGATACATGCGATTGCTTAAAATCGAAGGTTAGGCCTACAACTGTTTACAATAGCGGACTTTTAGTCCCTAGGGACACAGAAAACATACTACTATAACCCAGAATGCCAACCGCATGGTAAAAAAATATGTTTTCTGTGCTAGGGAGT